TCATGGATGTAGCAGCTCAAAATACCAACTGAGAGGGAAGGAGTCTTCACATCAAGTATCAGTGCTATCCCTTCTGTACACAGGGTAAATAGGGACATGCAACTTAGACACTGGCTACCTAAAATGAGGGGGCAATAAAGGCATGGAGTGACTTGCTTACAAGGTTTAAAGAGGGAGGTTACTTTAAGAGTGTGTGGGGAAAGATAGAATCCCTATTGAATAGTTTTCATCTTATCTGAAAGGGTCTGGTGAAAAGAGATGGGGATAAGATTCTTAAGATTCAATAGTGAGTAATTGTTATCATGACTAATAGTGACTGTCCCAATTGTAAAGGTAGAAGTTTTGTAACAAAAACGGGGAAGTAGTTAATCTTACAGTCCCAAAACAGAGGACCCTAAGATCATCAAGGGAGAAGAGCACAGGTGGAATGTGGGACCCTATCCAGAGAAGGAGGCAGAGATGGGGACATGGAGAGAGGGAGCAGCTGAGGACTCTAGATTCATGGAAAGAGAGGGACTGAGAGCTGGCCGTCAGAAGACAGGCTTGCAGAATGTGAAAATCATAGGATAATATCATTAATATTGCATGCAAATAAAACTTGCTAAAGATAATGCAGAAACAGCTGCAACTATATATTGACAGAAAAGTTTCAGAGGGTCAAGCCAGATTTATAAGAGAATGTGGAAGGAAGGATACCATTGCTGACATTAGATGGATCTTGACTGAAAGCAGAGAATACCAGGAAGATGTTTACTTGTGTAGTCATATGCAAAGGATTTCGATCGTGTGGATCATGACAAGTTATAGATAACATTGGGGAGAATGAGTATTCTGGAAGACTTAACTGTGCTCGTGAGGAACCTAAACACAGACCAGGGGGCAGTTGTTTGAACAGAACAAGGGAACACCAAATGGTTTAAAATTTGGAAAGGTGTGTGCCAGGGTTGTGTTCTTTCACCAAACATATTCAATCTGTATGTTGAGGAAATAATTCCAGAAGGCAGATTGTATGAAGAAAAATGTGACATCAGGATTGGAGAAAGACTCATTAACAACCTGCGATACGCAGCTGATAAAACCTTGTTTGTTCAAAGTGAAGAGGACTTAAAATATTTACTGATGAAGATCAAAGATCATAGCCTTCTGTATGGACTGCATCTCAAGGTAAAGAAAACAAAAAGCCTCACCACTGGACCAATAAACAACATTCTTATCAATGGAGAAAAGATTGAAGTTGTCAAGGACTTCATTCTTCTTGGATCGACTATCAACACTCATGGAAGCAGCAATCAAGAAATCAAATGACATATTGCATTAGGCAAATCTGCTGCACAAGATGTTTTTAAAGTGTTGAAGAGCAAAGATGTTAGCTTGAGGACTAAGATGCGCTTAACCCAAGCCATAGTATTTTACTTAAAATACTGATGAAGACCACAGACCACAGCCTTCATTATGGGTTGTACCTCAATGTAAAGAAAACAAAAATCCAAACATCCATATAAATGGGGGAAAATTTAGAATTGCTGAAGAATTCATTTTTCTCAGATTCACCATCAATACTTGTGGAAGCAGCAGCCAAGAATTCAAAGGACGTATTGCATTAGGCAAATCTGTTGCACAAGACTTTTTAAAGTGTTCAAGATTAAAGATATTAGTTTGAAGAATATGGTGTGCCTGGCCCCAATCTCATATTCATGTGAAAGTTGGACATTGAATAAGGAAAAATGTTGAATAATTGATGCATTTAAGTTACGGTCTTTTTGGAAAATATTGAAAGTATCATGTTCTGAAAAACAAAACCAAAAAACAGCAAAAAAAAAAACAAAAACAAAAAAAAACAAAACCAGTCTGTGTTGGAAGAAGTAAAGCCAGGATGCTACTTTGAAGTCTGGGTGGCCAGACTTTGTCTCTCATACATTGTACACATTATTAGGAGGGACCAGTCCCTGGAGAAGGAGATCATGTTGACAAGTTGGAAGGCCAGTGAAAAAGATGAAGACCTCCAAGGGATGGATTTGTACAGTGGCAGCAGCAATCTGCTCAAGTGTAGCAATGATTGTCAGGTTGGCACAGGACTGGGCAATGTTTCGTCCATATGAGTTGGTACTGACTTGATGGCTCCTAACAAAAACAACAACAACATGTTTAACAGAAGTCATTTTAAAACGCAATGCACTCGGCTTGTAGTATAGGCAGTAGATTGGTTCTTAGGGGCAAAGGATAGCCTAAGAGACATCTAAAGCCCACTGTTCTGGCCTTATTTTATCTGACTTTTAGGTTATGACAGAGAATCATGGAGAAAGAAAAGTCTAGGAGCAGATTCTCTGATTCTGTGTTCAGATAACTAAAATTATGCTCATTCATGGCACAAAATTGTCAACTAGACTTTTCATGTATCTGGGGAAAAAATGCTTACATTAGACTAATTTCTTCCAGAGAAATAATTGCAATGTTATATCATGCCCTTGTGTCATGCTTAATGAAGGTAGACTTCTGTCCCTAATATTGGTTTCTGGTTATTAGTAACCCTGTATGAGTCTACAATTCTGAATTTTATCTCTGAATTCAGGAGAGAGTCCTGAGGTCAACTTCAATAAGTGCTTATGCGATTCTACAAGATTCCACATACAGTTGGTAGAAACGGAATGAAACCTCAGGATTTGCTTGGGAAACCAGAGGAAAAGGATTGTTGGAATCATTGACATGCTTAAAAGTAAGTAACCACAATTATATTTCCTGGCAAAGAATAGATATTATCTGCTTTAATCAATAAAACTATTGGATTTATATAAAATGATACATGTCTTAAAATTATTAAAATATCCTACTTTATTAATTTTTTTATATACTCATGCTACACTCTGGTAGTGTAGTGGTTATGAGTTGAGCTGCTAACCTCAAGGTCATGGAAGAAAGATGAGGTTTCCTGCTCCTGTAAAGATTTACAGCCTTGGAAACCTTGTATAGGGTCTCTATGAGTTGGAACCGACTCCACGGCACACCACCACCACCACCACTATATTTTTCATTTTTTAGTGTTCACTGAGCAAAATCTAAAAATTATTCTGGTCATCACTCATGCTAAAAAGTAATATATAATCCAATCCACATCAATAATACTGGTAGTGTGTACGTGCCGTGGAGTCGGAACAGACTTATAGTGACCCTGTACAGGGTTTCTGAGGCTGTAAATCTTTATGGGAGCAGAAAGCCTCATCTTTCTCCCATGGAACATCTGGTAGCTTCAAATTGCTGACCTTAAGGTTTACAGCCCGATTCATAACTATTACAGTACCAGAGCTCCTTCAATAATACTAGTAATAGGTAAAACCTATTGGCTGTTTATATTGTGTAAGTTACTGTTCTAATTTAATCCTCACAACAACCCAAGGAGGTAGATATTCTTTTTATCTCCATTTTGCAGAAGAGGGAAATGGAGGCTCTGCAAGGATGAAATATTTACCCAGGGTCACATTCTTATAAGCAGCAGAACCAGGATTCAAACCAGACAGCAATATGATTGCTGAATCATCTTAATCATAATATCACAAAATGCTTCTCTAGTGCCAGGTTAAATACTGACATGACCTAAAAGATTTAAAAGCAATTGCACCAGGAACACAGTTCAGATAAGATGGTACAGATTCATGATACAAAACAAGACCACTTACAGTCAAAAGTGTTCTACCTATAACACATATTCCTTCAAGCGATGGCATCTGGCAGAATTTGTGGCGATCTTTAAAGCTGATAATCGTGAGAGTAATCCCAGCTATCGCGACCAAGGAACTGAGCACATTCATGGTCATGGCACTTTGTCTCTGGAAAACAGTTATAAACAAACCAAAAAATAAATACCAAACACCTTTCAAGGAATCCTTACTGCTTTCATGGTTACAAACACTCCCTCAAGGATAAATTGCTCTGTTAGGTCAATGTTTGAAAAACTGGGTAGCTTAAATCACATTTTATCAAAGTCTGATGATAATCCAAAATTTCACCAGACTGTTGAAAAGGGAGTTGATAGGGACACGCATTCTCTACAGTTGATACAATGTTCATCCTATCCTGATGTGTAATTGTTTATAAACTGTAAGCTGAATGAGATGAATTGCCTCAGTGGCTACAACAAAGGTTCACATGTACCAATGGTTGTGAGGATGTGAGCAGACTCCTGGTGTGGCGCTGCGGGTTAATATGGGAAGTGTGGACTGTGTAATGTAGTGGGGCTAAGGAGATGTTCAGCTTGACAAATGACAATGGGTTGAACTGCAAATTTGATGAATAAAAATTTCCCTGAGAGACATTTTATTACTAAAGGCTTCTACACAGAGAGGATAGAAAGCAAGCAGAATATTTTAATTTAAATAAACATCTCACAAGTGATTTACATGATGCTGTTGTGGTTTCTCCTTGATTCCTGTGAAGTATCCTGCCAGAATAAACTGTCAAGAAGACAAAAGATTAAAGTTAATGGAAGATATATTTTGTTAACTTACAACAACAACATAAAGTGACTAGTATCATTTGGAGTAAATGAGAAGCCTATCACACTAAGTAGAATTACTTAATTTTAACTTTCGGGGGAAGGGAACCCTCCTGTAGGAATGGGTGTTGGATCTTGGGCATCTCTGAGTCTTAGAGTCTGAAGATCTCATGAGGATGATGCCTCCCTCCACTTCATTCCCCATATTGGACCATCTTGTTCTATCCGTTCTGAGTCCCTCTCAGAGTCGTCCATTTCTCTCCTCTCTACTGTTACTGCAGCCTCTTCTTATCTGCAATTATCATCACTGAATTCATTTTCAATTCAGAAAACAGAATTATATTTCAAAGTATCAAATCTTCAAATGTTATTAACCTCTTAAAAAATTGGCAACCAATTTTTCTTTTCCTTGTATTACAGTTTCACATTCTTTAATACAGTGACCACAAGGGTTGGCATGGTACAGTTCTAGTCACATTTTTTGAACTTCGTTTTATACCCTTACCATGGATTGACTGGTTTTCTTTCTCTTGCTCTTTTCCATATTAAACACCCCACCCCCGTATTCATTATTTGCCTTTGCCTAAGATGCTTCTACTTCACCCAGGAACACCAATGCATAAAATATTTCCCTGATGCCCCAGACCAGGTGAGTACCCCATTCAATTGTCAAACATGGCACCTGGAACTTCTCTCTCAAAGCATTTAGCACAAATGTCAAAACATATCTGCAGTTATTATTACTTTTAAGTCGTTTAAAAATTATTTTATTTTATTTTTTTTTAACTTGTTATTGTGAATTGGGTGAAGGTTTACAGAGCAGATCACCAGTTTTACATTCAACAATTCAGACACATTTTACTTCCTCTCACTGACTGCAATCCTCTCAATGTAACATCACTTATCTTCCACTTCCTTCCCGTGTTTCTTATTTCCATTCCTCATTCTTTCCTAACTCTTCTGAACTTCACCCTTGGGTAAATGCTGCCCTTGTGATCTCAGATGGTTAATGTAATTTCTAGTCTCACCACTAGATGACAAACCAGGTGAGAACAATTCACTACTTCTTACAACCAGGACTTTATCTGTGCTTGTCACCTCGAAACTATCCAAGACATAGAATGTTCTCAGCAAATAATTCTTCAGTGAAGAGTAGAAGTTTGAAAATTACATGCCAGAATTTCATTATATATAATTCATGCATATAGTTCACATGGAGTCAAACTGAGAAAATTCTGTTGTGAAATAGAACAAGTGTGGTATTTGAATTTCTGCAGTAGGTCATGCACAGTTTGAAAATCATACTCAATAGTATATTATTTATATTTTGACAGTGAAATCTCTACCAGTTGTTTTAAAAATGAAAATTATAGAAAAGTCATGCCTTTTTTCAGATATGTCAAAAGAAGACATGGGTTTCTGATAGAGATAATGGTCTCATTTATACGTTATCTCATCCATTTATTATTAATTGGTTGAGTCATACCTACTAGATTATGAGAATACAAAAACGTGAAAAAAAAGAAAAAAAAAGCAATGTTTTTGCCCTCTTGGGTGTGTACATCTATACCATTAAGATATTATGGAACATTATCAGGGGCCAGGGTTGTGGGGATTGGCTAGAAATAGCACCATACTAAGAATTACATTTATGGCTTTCTTGTTAAGTAGATGAGTGAAACTCATACTTGGTCTTGGGGCTTAAAAAAAAAAAAAAGGTTGAACTATTGTTGTTGTTGTTGTCAGGTGCCATCGAGTCGGAACCGACTCATAGCTACCCCATGTACAGCCGAACGAAACAATGTCCGATCCTGGGCCAACCTAATCTTAAAATTCATGCTAAGCGATGAGACTCTGAAATACTATGGGTGTTAGCTAGGTATATTTAAGTTATTCAACTTCTCTCAAACTAGATTTCCTTATGTGCAAAGGGGAAATTAAGATATTTGTTCATCTTTTTTCCTAGATTGGTGGGGTGGAGCAAACGACTTCATATACGTGTAAGAAAGTTTTGGAAGCTTTTAAACACTGTCCACCTAGGAGGAATTATTATGACAATGGTAAGCTTACATGGCAAATTGAGGTTTTTGTTTTTGTTTTTAATGTCATAGAGGGAATTGGCTTGCAGTCTCCAAGGGAACCATATCACAGAATTCATTATATCAAGAATTTGAGACATTCAAATCAGTCTTTATAGTAATTTCTCAAAAGTTCTTAAATGGCAGTACTCACGATGAGTGCTCCCCAGAATGGATACCCTGTGAGGAAAACGAGGGGAAATCTTTGGGAGAATCGGACAAAGTTAAATGTGATTATAGTTCCCAGGCCGGCAATGATCAGAGCAAGCAGAATCTGGACAGCCTGTAAGGAGAGGAATGGGCACGTGAGCTCACAAGTATCCCAACCCCATTCAATGCCCCATCTACGTTCCTGCCTCAGTGATTTTCACCACACTTTCCTCCACTGGGGCACCACCTTCTTCGTCCATTTACCAGCCTCTAGGAGTCCTGGTGTGGCGCTTTGCATTAATGCGTCAGACTGCAAAGCCATTTGAACTGTAACGGCGGCAGTTTAAACTCACCAGCTGCTCCTCAGAAACCCCATACAGGGTCTCTCTGGTTTGGAACTGACTTGATAGCACTTAAGAACAACAAAGAAACAGCAGCCAAGAAATCAAATGACGTATTGCATTAGGCAAATCTGCTGCACAACACCTTTTTAAAGTGTTGAAGAGCAAAGATGTCAGCTTGAGAACTAAGATGTACCAGATCCAAGCCATGGTGTTTTCAATAACCTCATATGCATGTGAAAGTTGGACAGTGAATAAGGAAGATTGTAGAAGAATTGATGCATTTGAGTTATGGTATTGGAGGAGAATACTGAAAGTCTCATTGGCTGCCAAAAGAACAAACAGAACTGTTTGGAAGAAATGCAACCAGAGTGCTCCTTGGAGGCCAGGATGGCCAAGCTTCGTCTCTCATACTTTGGACATATTGTCAGGAGGGACCAGTCGCTGGAAAGGATATCATGTTTGGTAAGGTGGAGGGTGAGAGAAAAAGAGGAAGACCCCAGTGAGATGGATTGGCCAAGTGGCAGCATCAATGGGCTCAAGAGTGGCAACAGTAGTGAGGTTGGCTCAGGACCGGGCAGTGTTTTGTTCTGTTGTGTACAGGGTCTCTATAAGCCGGTACTGACTCAATGGCACTCAACAACAACAACAACAACAGGATAGTCAGAGGGAGCTCTGATAGAGTAGTGAATTAGGAATTGTCCTGCTAACTGCAAGGTCAGCAGTTAGTATCTACCAGCTGCTCCACAGGAAAAAGATGAGGATTTCTACTCCTGTAAAGATTCACAGCCTCAAAAACCCTCTTGTTGTTGTTTGTTAAGTGCTGTCCAGTTGGTTCCAACCCATAGTGACCTTGTATAGGGTTTCTGAGGAGCAGCTGGTGAGCCTGAACTGCTGACCTTGTAGTTTAAATGTTTTTTTGCAGTACAGCACATTAGCCCACAGAGCCATGTCAAGACTCCCAGAAATCGTATACAAGGGTGCTTTGAGTCAGAAGTGACACCACCAGCAGCATAGTTAGGTCCTGATGTGGTATTGTAGGATAAGCACTGGACTGCTAAAAGCAAGGACAGTGATTCAAACCCACTAGCTGCTCCTCAGTTGGAACCAAGTTGGAATCAACTTGACAACACTTGAAAAATATCAACAACCAGGATAGTCAGAAAGGAGTTCCAGTGGTTTAATAGTTAAGTGCTTAGCTGATAACTGAAAGATCAGAAGTTCAAATCCACCTAGCAGCTCTGTAGTAGAAAAGACATGGCTATCTGCTTTTGCAAAGATTACAGCCTAGGAAACTATATGGGACAGTTCTACTCTGTCCTAGAGTTGCTGAGTTAGCATTGACTTGACAGCGCACAACCACAGGATGGTCAGAAATCTCCTTTCAAATATGTCTCCTTCCCCATTATGCCTGCTTCACTGAGGTTCAAATCCTTCACTCCTGCCCCTCACTGTTTACTACTCCTCGGTACTACCAATTTCTCTTGCTTCAGAGTTGAGTACTTGTCAGTCTTTACTCTTAGACTCCAAACTTCTTGAAAACAGGGTCTACAAACTGTTCACCTCTTTATATGTCTTTTCCCTTCTGCATCGCCAGCACCCTCTAATTAGCCTCAGCTTCCATTACATACATTCAATACATGCTTCTGGAGTTGAGACTCAGCCCACTCTATGAATGCTTATGAAACTCACTGACATAGAGTGAGGAAATGAGGGTGAAGATATATTTTATCTTCCCTTCATCCAAAAACCTGACTAGAGATGAGAGTAACCCAGTGGACCTAGTAATCTACCAGGAGTTGAACATCATGGTGGTCTCCCAGGGACAGTTGTTCTTCTCCTCTAGCATTCTGAGCTTTGCCTGCAGACCATATTTCTGTGGCATCACACCACTGTTGTATTAAGCATGAAGGCTATGAACATAGTCTTCTTCCCAGGTACATTTATGGCAAAATGAGTTTTATGTGTGTGTCTAGAACGTGGTTCAGTAAGGAGTTCTGACAATCATTTTCAAAGAAACTCATTGTTTGTAAATAGCAAAATGAAGACGTTTAACTTTTCCTCAAATGGCTTCTAAGTTCCAAGGGAGATGCCTACATATCTTGAGGTACTTGAAAATTATCATACCTGCTTCCTACTTCTCTATATCTACGATTCAAATACTGATGCTAACTCCTCAGGAAACAGCCTTGAGATTTCCCTTTGAGATAGAGGATTATTAGTTGGAGTTAAATATCCCATTCCTAAGAGTTAAATAAACCCTCAGACTCATTTCTTAAATATGAGGCAAAGTAGATGTATTTCTAATAGAAATTTTTATTTCTTATGTTATCAAAATCTAGAGAAATGGTATAATTGGCTATTTATTTATTACTGAGATCTAAGTTCCTCATACAAGTAAATGACTCAGAAGCACTTATGATTAACCAAAATCTCTGCGCATTGCAAATGGTTTACACTCAGCTTTGAACCCATCTAGAGGTACCACAGAGGAAAAGCCCTGACAATCTGCTGCCATTAAGATTGTTGTTGTTAAGTGCTGTCGAGTCAGTTCTGACTCATAGAGACCCTGTATAGGGTTTCCAAGGAGTGGCTGTAGGTTTGAATCACCAACCTTGTAGTTAGCAGTCCAATGTTGATCCTACAGTGCCACACCAGTACTCCATTAAGGTTATAGTCAGGAAAATCCTGTAGAGTAGCTCTACTCTGTAACGCATGGGGTTGCCATTAGTAGGAATCAACAGAAACTAACGTCAGCCTGATTAGTCCAGAAGGATACTTTGCATGTGAAATATGGAGGGAAAGAAAGAAAAAAAGCAAAAAAAAAACCACAAAAAAACCCCAAACAGAATCAATACCCCCCTTGAAATGCAATGAGTGATATGTCTGCAGACACTTATAGAGAAATAACTTGTTTGTGTACACCCCTGCACCCTCAGAATACACTAAGAATTGGAGAAGACTTACCCCCAAGACTTGTGGCTCTCCCTTTAGGAAATCCAGCAGAGAGCTATGAGGTCTGTAAGGAAAGCCAGTCAATACAGTTTCCCTTGGTTGTACAGTGACATCCTGGCTTTTTTTTTTAACCTGAGTTGATGACTCCATAATTCAATGGCAAAACTCTACTAAGAGAATGAGTAGGTGAACATTACAGCCAAAGTCATGGTCTGCTTCTACATCAGTGTCACATGGAGTTCTTAGCAATGCAACCTTAGCAATCACTCTGCTTGGTGATAGGAACACAGAATCATAGTTCATTAAGTCATAAAGTGTTAGAATTCTTGGTCATACTCAGCCCTTATTTTCTTGGAAACCAGTGGTCCAGAAGAGTTATCCTTTCATCAAATGGTTTACAGATGGTATACATAAAGATAAACCTCAATACTTGAAGTTCATAAGATAAAAAGGAACTAAAATTTATGACAAAATCCTGTAGAAAGTATTTTGTCTGTTTTAACATGTAGTCACACTTAATCTTTCAGCAGCTCTGTGATGCAGAAGTTGAGATCCAGAAAGGTTACATTGCTCAAGATCACATACTAAAGGGCAGGGGAAAGAATTAAACTCTGCTTTTCTGCTTCTAAAAATCTCTGTTGTTTCTTTTAAATCACATTTCTAGTCTTCTTCAAAAAGAATTTCTCACTTTTAAATGGTGAATTGTCTCACTGCTTAACCACATTCCTTTGTAGTATAAACATCTTTAAGAAGGTACAGATCAGATGTAGTTGGTAACTTTAACTGAGTACATTTTACCTTTCAGAAAGACAAATAAAACTCATTAAAGGCCTTCATGTTTTAAACTTTATAAATATAAATTTCAACAACTTGGTACAAGCTATATATTTGTACCAACATTGTCATTTGGAATTTTGCTTTCCCCATTGAATCCTTCATTTTCCTATATCTGTTAATTATAAAATCACAAGATTAATTATTTCACAAAGCCAAAACACACACACACTAATATTATCTTGAGCGTTTCCAATTAGTTGCAGAGGAGAGTTTCTCAAACTTGGCTTTGAGAGTATTTGGGGCCTGATATTTTTCATTTTGGGAAATTGTCCTGTGTATTGTAGAGTATTTAGTAACATTCCTGGTATTTATCCAGTAGATACCACTATCATACTCCCAGTTCTGACAACCCTAAACTCTTCAAACCTTGTAAAATAGCTCTCAGGTTGGGGGAGGGAGCAGTGTAAAAATCACTCCAGATTGAGAACCACTGACTTATAGAAAAAACTGCTAACTTTTTGTCCTGATAGAATGCTTACCATGTGTTGGATTGTATCCTTTTAAAATACGTATTAATGTTCCTACCCCTGTACCTGTGGATCTGATTCTGTTTGGAAAGAGAGTCTTCTTTTGGTATGCTAATGAGGACATAACAAGGTAGGATGGACTCTAAGTTGAATCATTTCTTATTCATAAAAGAAAATTAAAAAGAAAAAAAAAAAAGAAAATAACTGTCGAGGACCGGCCTTGACAGGGAAGTTTTGTTCACGAAGTAGGGAGATCTGGCGGCAAAAGAAATAGATAAAAAATGCACACAAAGACGCGACAAGAGAGACAAAGAGACACCCCAAAACTAGAGTGGATGCAAGACTGGAGGGCAGACCCTGGACTGCAGGCATCATGGCCCTGCTGGCAGTAATGCACACAGGGCTCAATCTGCACCCTTCTTTTATTTCAGGGAGGGATTTTACACAAAGGAAGAAGGGGATTATTAAGACAGGGTACAGAAGTGAAATATGATTAATCGTTCAAAATAGGACACAATGATTTACAGGAACAAATTCTAAAATATACATCACAATTGTCTTAATAATCTAACATCCTTAATTTTCCAGAAATTTAAGCAAATTGTTATAAATTACTTTTTAGGTTCAAATCCTAAGGCAGTGACTCGAGGTTTCTCAAGGCTAGTTAACATACCTATAGCACTTAATCTCTAATGGGTAAAGGTGAGAAAAGGATTCAAAAGGTCTGGAAGGAGTCCAGCTGTTTCAGCTACCTGGCTTAAGCCTTCAGGAGGAAGAGGGACACCTGGGGACGATTAGAAGGGCTGACACTATTATTACTTGAACAATATTCTGGAATTTGCCAGTCCACTTTGAGTGAATTCCTTGGGCAGATTGTCTCCAGAGCCCAGAAAACCTGCCTTTGGAACTTTTATGGCCTTGGCTTTAGGAGGAGTTTTTATCTTAATATTGTACATGGATACTAAGATGTATTAAGTTAATATCAAACATAACTGAATAATTTGATAAAGAACAGTTTGGACATGCTTGCCAGGTGGCCAGAATTTGTTCCTCAGAGAGATTTGTTCCCAGAACCTTACGCACTGCCAACACAGTGGAGACATTAAGAGAGGCACATAAGAAACCATTTTCTCAGAAGCTGCAATTACTGGAGTTAGAAGCATAGAATTAATAATAAGACCAAAGAAAATTATACAGAGCTAGCCTAACAGTGAGTTTGTAAAAGCCAATGAACCCGGGATGTCAGGAGGTCACTTCCTTGGCCCTCAGGGTCCCTGGCTAGCAATTCTGAGTGGAGGCACCGTGTTGGATTTTCATCCATGACACAGGACCTCAACATCTCAGTGATTGCCGTCCCCAACAAATAACTAACACAGAGCTATACATAGGAAGAAGAAGTCATATAAAGACAAACATACATGGCAGCTACAGTCCAGGAATGTCAAGGATTGCTTGTAGCTACGAGGTGGTGAAATAGATAAAGAAAAACCTCCTCACACAACCACACCCTGAAGTCTAACATCTAGCATACTGAACTGTGAGAAAATAAAATTTCCTTCTTCAAAGTCACCCATTTGTGGTGTTTTTCCTATGGCAGCACTAGGTAATTAAGGTAGTCTCTTTGTTTTTTACACCCAAACTTCAGAGAAAGTATATATTTCTCAATACATTTTTTCTGACAGTGTTTACTCAGTCATTGTTGTTGAGTTGATTCTGACTCATAGAGACCCTTGTAGGACAGAGTATAACTGCTCTATAGGGTTTCCCAGGCTCTAAATCTTCATGAAAGTAGATTATTTCATTGTTCTTCTAAAGAATGGTTGGTGGATTTGAACCTCCAATCTTTTGGTTTCCAGTTGAGCGCTTAATCACTGTGCCATCAGGGTACCATTTTGTTTATCCAGGTAAATTTTAATTTATATACTTAAAATGCAAGACACTATTTTAAACAAAACGAAGTGTGGAGCAAATCTATATTTAAATTATAACAGATCTGATAGACTATCAAAATCATGTAGAGGTGTGTTGAAAATAGAAAGGGAGAGGGTGGGACTTGATGGTGAATAGGGTAGAGGTGCAGTGAAGTTCATCCTCAGCAATAACACAGAATACCAGGTGAAATGGGTTCAGGATAGAGTTCTAAAACTCTGAACCACATAGGTAAGAATATTTATAAAGTTTGAAGGCTTGTAGCTAGTGGAACTTGTAGCGGAAGTAAGAAATCATGTACTTTTGAATCAGCCAGGATCAGCGGTCTGGAGCAAACAACTAGGCAATAACAAACCACAAGACCAAGCAGGGGAACAGACCCAGCACAGAATAATGCTGTGGGAACCTCAGAGCAAAGTTGGACAATACACTTTGTCGGTTTTGCTTTGCTTTGAAAAAAAAATTTTTTTTTTCCAGTATCTACTCATTAGCCCACTCCTGTTTGCACACTTCCATTCTGGTGACTAGAGGGGATGCCTGAGTGAGTGGACACACCCCACCCCCACCACTGGTGGGTTGTTCTGCCACGCATGCACAGAGATACTACTCTCAGCCCAAGAGCCGGTCCTGAACTGTTTTTTAATAGGGAAAAGGCCAGAACAAGAGGTGTGGAGAGGGAAAGAGTGTTTAAAACCAAAACAGGCCAGAAATTAAATTAAATCCTGAGGTACAGTGTAAAAACCAACAGTGGCATCTTGAAATTTATCAGATGGCCTTGAAGGCAAGAAACTGAAAGAGGACATTAAAGTCAT